CTACAAAGAGAACTCCAAGTCTTGATGACGTCACTAGTGAATCCTCCAAACATGTAAAGAAGACAAGAATATGAAGCAATTGGCTTAAATATTGGAATGGATAAAATTACCTTTTTATTAGTTCATGATAATATCATATACCTAGAAAATCTGGGATAGACTAGTAAAGCAGCCATTAAATTTAACAAAATAATTGTACAAGGTGGCTGGAGATAAGATGAATATACAAAAATCAAGATTTTTCTTTGTACTGCAACAAGCATTTAGAAATGAACATGGGAGAAATTTCTCATTCACAGTGGCAAATAAAAGTGGTAGATAAAAAGGTACAAAAGACCTACATAATTGAAATTATAAAAAGTTATTAAAAGGAATAAAATACTATGTTATTATAGTAACATATTTTAGATAGGAATTCTTAATATCATAGAATATAATGTTTCCTATATTAGTATAAATTTAATGCAATTCTAATCATAATTCCAATAAGATATTTTTTGGAACAAGATAACATGATTATAAAATCCATATGGAAGAATAAATGTCCCATAAGAGCAATGAAAATTCCAAAAAAACCTAATGATGGACAGCTTTCCTTATGAATTTACAATTGAAATAGTATGGGGCTAATTCAGGATAAATCAAGCAGTGAACAGAATAAAGGCCCTGTAACAGTTCCCAATATAATGGAAACAACATAAGACTAAAGTGACATGAAATTTCCATGGGAAAAGAATGGTTTATTTAATAAATGATGCAGGAAAAATATTTTGTCCACTTGGAAGAAAATAAAAATTGAACACTTCACACTATACAAATAAATGTAAGATGGATTAAATTTAAATGCAAAGGATACAAAATAAAATTATTAGAATAAAATTTAGTAAGATCTTGCACAACCTTGCAGTCAGGGAGATCATCCTAAGCAAAATAGGAAATCCAGAAACCATAAAGGAAAAGACAGATCTTGTACTGATAAGAAAACTGTTATAAATAAATGGGCAAATGATATGAACAGACAAATTTACAAAAAAGGAAATATGTGTCCCATAAATGTGAGAGGTGATCATAGTCACGACAATGCAAGTAAAACCAAAAATGATATTCAATATTTCACCTATAAGAACTGCAAATTTTTGCAAGTGTGATAACATCATGGACCAGTGAGGGTTTAGAGAAATAGGCACTCTCATAAATGAATTTCTAGTGAGAATCCGAATTAATACAAACTTCTTAGATGGTAGTCTCTTGGTATGTTTTTAAATTAAAATACACATACTAGGATGTTATTGAAGTAATATTAACTATTTACATTAATACATATTTTTAAATATTAATAAATATTCAAATAAATATTTTAAATAAGAGATATTAAAACAAGAGGAAGATGTAAGACAGTATTATGATCTCTTTTTGTATAAATTAGGATGATAGATTCAGTAGGTATTATATTAGAATAGGTTAACTACTATAAAAAAATAGAATCAAACATAAAACAACTCAGGGCCGGCCCCGTGGCTTAGTGGTTAAGTGTGCGCACTCCAATACTGGCGGCCCAGGTTTGGATCCCGGGCGCGCACCAACGCACCACTTCTCCGGCCATGCTGAGGCCGAGTCCCACATACAGCAACTAGAAGGATTTGCAACTATGACATACAACTATCTACTGGGGCTTTGGGGAAAAAAAAAAAAAGGAGGAGGATTGGCAATAGATGTTAGCTCAGAGCCGGTCTTCCTCAGCAAAAAGAGGATTAGCATGGATGTTAGCTCAGGGCTGATCTTCCTCACAAAAAAAAAAAACATGAAACAACTCAAAGGTTATTGCTTGCTAAGTTGAGAGAGAAGATGAGAGATTTTAAGGACTTGTCTTGCAAGTGGCACTTATGACTACTACTCACATTTAATTGGCTAGAACTCAGTCATATGATCACACGTGACTGCAAAGGAGACTGAGAAATGTAGTCTAGCTGTGTGCTCAAGAGAAAGAGAAGAAATTTTGGTGGACAGCTAAAAGTCTCTGCTATAGAGAGATAAATAGGTAGATAGGTGATAGATAGATTAGATAGATAGATGATAGAGAGATTGATAGATAAAGATAGACAAGACACTGAGATATAGAGCAGGCTAACTATATTTGTAGCTATACTACATAAATTCAGTATAAACATGACTTTTGTTTCTGGCAGAAATTACAAGAAACTCTTAATAAAGGTTATGCTATTATTTTAGAACCAAATAAAAGAAAGTGAAACTTTTGTTTTATTTTATAATACATACAACCTTATATATGCATTATCATTTTTTTCCCTAAAAAAGTGGCTAAAGGATTTCTTGAAGTGAAGAGACGAGGTCCCATTTTTCTTCTTTGTTTCTCTATGTATATAAATTATATAGATAGATTTATAATAATTAATAAGTATATAAGAAATAAATAATAACTAATACAAATATATTGAAAAAAACACACATACCCTTTTCCCCAGCAACTTGATAAGCTAACCCATTGAAATAACGGTGTCAGTATGTAAGGGTATATAAAGAAGTCTGTTTATTGCATCTTCATTTGTAATGGCAAATACTGCAAACGACTTGAATATCTATTGATGGAATCTCAAAAAATACATATTATAGAATGGCAGTTCTCAAACTTTTTGGTCTCAGAACCCTTTACACTCTTAAAAATCATTAAGAGCTTCAAAGAGCTTTTGTTTAAATGGGTTGAATTTATTGATGTTTGTTGTAGTGGAATTTAAAACTGAGAAATTAAAAAAAATTTATTAACTCATTTAAAAATAACAATAAATCCACCACATGTTAACACAAATAACATATTTTATGAAAAATATCTATATTTGCGAAAAACAAAAAATATTTAGTGAGAAGAGTGGCACTATTTTATATTTTTGCAAGTCTCTAACGACTGGCTTTATAAAATAAGCTTGATTCTCGTATTGGCTTCTGCATTCAATATGTTGCTGTGTGTTGTGTTGGTTGACATACATGAAAAAAATTCAACCTCACATAGATATTTAGTTGGAAAACAAAAGATTATTTTAATCATCTTTTTAGATAATTTTTGTATTCTCTTTTGATATTATACTAAAATTCGACAAGTGGCTGTTTATTGAGGGTTAGTTGCAATGTAAACTCTGAAACTATATCAATGAATTTTTCGTACTATTAAATTAAAAGTCTTTATTTTGCACTTTGAGTGGATCTTTTACTCATCCATGATTTTGGAATATTTTTGCAATATCAGTGTGTAATTTTGTAATATCAGTATGTATTGATCATTTTGAAAATATTGGTTCATTGAGTTATGCAGATCTTCCAAATGTTGACAAATTTCATTACACAATATCAAAAAATAAAATTCATTGATATCACCACTGATGCTCATGGTGATGGATAAAAGTTTTCCAAAATTGCTTGTAAGCTTCAATTTTATCACCAGGAACAAATACTGTCAGTTGTTGCCCTTGAAGTGACAGGCTCAGTTTATTCATTTTCGAATCTTATTTCATTTAACTTCAAATACCCAAATCTGAATAACCACAATGTTTCAGTTTTTCTTTGAAAAAAAAAAAAGGTGCTTCATGGAAAAGACGACTAGTTTGAAGCTCACAACTCAGTCACCTAAGTGCTTTTCCTTGAGACAACTGTCATACTTCAGTATGTTGCAAAAGCGCGTCACGCAGTCTTCCCATTTCATCGCCCAGAATATTGAAAAGACATGTACTCAAGGGTTGAGATTCACTGCTTCCTCAAGGACACTCTTCCATGAAACGGACTTTAGAAAACAAACAAACAGGCAGTACCCGGTGGTAACCAATACATCGACCACCCGTATGGTTTGCTGTGACTGCCTTGATTCATGCTAAGCAGCCTAAGTGTGGATCCAGTGACACCACCTCCTTAGCTGTGTGACTGAGGATATGTTTACTTAATTCCACTGAGCCTCACTGTCTGCAAAACGGTAGTCAAGTACTATCCAGTCCTCGTAGGTTCCCAGCAACAAGTGCGTGAAATAAGTGTGTCAACCCCACCAACAAGGCCTTGACACAGTTTAAGGCCCCGATATGTAGTAGGTGGATCTCAAATACAGGCTGTAGTGTTAATGAAACAGCACTTCAGTTGAACAGAGAGGCTGACTATTGTTCCAACCCACTGGGGAGCTGGCTGTCAGAGTTAGAAACGAAAACATAGTTTTGACGACATCTTAGTCTTTTTATCTGTGAAGACATCCTATTGTGTTACAAGACGTGGCTATCTGGGTTCAGTTTCTCAACTTCCAGAATGAGAATGGAACGTCCTTTTATCTCAGCGCTAGGGAGGCAAAACCAGGGCGACCCCGACGAAAGGCAGGAGCATATTACTCAAACGTTTCTGGATTTCTGCTGCCTGCGGGACCTGACTGATACATTCGGGCCCTGGCTACTCTCAGGTGGGCTGTGGAAGGGCTGCAAGACATTGGGAAACATTTGCTGAGCACTCGAAGGTCCTTTGAGAAAAGGACTTTGTTTAGATTCTTACACTTGACCATGAATCAATGTTTAAATTTTCAGGAATAATATACGATAACCCCAAAGTTCAGAGTGGATAGTTATTTCTGGATGGTGAGGTAATAGTTGATTTTTATTTTCTTTTTATGCTTATTTTTTAGGTTTTTCTACCATTAGCATTTTTTGTTTACTATTTTAAAGTTATTTAAAATTGTCTTAAAAAGGGAAAAATCACAGTGAGCTTGGTTTATGGCATTTTTATTGCAATTTTGCAGAGCATTTGAAATTTCAAAGAATTAGTTAAAATTTGAAAAGAACAGTGCATTCACCTTGGCAAAGGGAGAAAACAGACTTCATTGTGGTTTTAGCCATTCTTCCACAACTTTTAGGAAAGAAAGATTGCCTACCCCAAAGCCATTATTGTAATGACACGATGTAAGTGTTGTACTGGGTAGTAAACGCTGTGATTCAACGTGTGCCACTGGGGATTCGCTCGTCTTAGCAAAGAGCGCTCAGCTCCGTCATGGAACAGCCGTCCATGCAGCACACCGTTTGCAGGTCCCGTCTGGACATCACTGAACGCTTCTTTGACCCCCAAAGCCCTTCAGTGGCCAGCTGTCCACCCTGAAGGCTTTCCTCCCCTAAGGAGTCCACCTTCAGGAGGTTTTGTGCTCTGCTTTCCTCAGAAACCTCGAGTTCACTCGGGAGCTGGAGGTAGTTTCCTGTCGCAGCTGTGGAAGAGAAAAACAATCCTTCCTTAGCGGGCCCTGACAGAGGCAGCAACCAAGTTCTACTTTGGGGGAAATGCATGTGATTTCTGAAAGGAAATTGAATCCTACACATGATTTTCTTTTTAACATTGTTCTGGGGTTTCAGAGAGACTAGACTTTTGGGGAGAACTCAGTCATCTCCACCCCCTCATTTTACAGAAGAGAAACGTGAGTGCAGAGAGGACAGACGTAACCACCCAGTGAGTGGCCGAGTCAGGGCTGGACTTCTGTTTTACTGGCCACCTCTGCTCAACGACCAGCAGCTTCTAGAGGGATTAGTTACATGCTATAAACAAGAAACATGCAAACAAAAATCAACCCTGTGTGTTGCAAAGCCGATCGGTAAGGAGGGAAGTGGAGATTTAAACCTCTGTCTGAAAATAAAAAGTGGCCCCACTGTTTTTATCAGTGTTGTTCCCAAAGTCCACATATAAGCCTCTCTCACTTTAACTTCGTTCAGACTTACTTATCAGTACCTTAGCACACTGGCGGTACCAGGGAATCTTAGAGGAATAAATGCTGATTGTAAACCAGTAATTGATCAACTAAATAATGTATGGGAAAACACTCTGAAAGCCTGTGAAAGGTTAAATAAACAGTATTATATGTCAGTGATGTCAAAAAGAGATAGCCTTATACAGACAGACACCCATTCCACTGCCCCATGTGTTTCAAAGATATTCTGGATGTATTTTTTTCTAGTGTATTTGGTTTGCTAATCCAGAGAATGATAAATTATGATAAATTATGCTTACTCTCTTAAGATTTAAAACTCATTATTTCTGTTAACATCTAGTAACTACGAACCTCTCAACATTAAAGTGGGAATGGTAAGTTCATGATTTTTTAAGACATTAGCCCAGCAAAATATGAAAACTGTGGGTCATTTTCCAAAATCTTTTTGTTTACCAAAGTAATTTTAAACCAAATTGAAACCTTTGCAATCACATATGTGGTTGCTACATTTGTTATGTAATCACGTTTTCCTTTTTTACTTTTTATTATAAAACATAACCAACACAATTGATTATTAAAATAGAATCTTAAATAAATTTTATTTCACACTTTAATATAGGATTAATGGACAGAATTCCAGTCAAACTTCTAAGCTACTTGAATTGAAAAACGAAGGAATGCCGTGAAGTCAGTTCCCTCACTATTTCTGAAACACATTATTAGGTTCATTCCCACCTCCAAAATTTCCGTCAGACAATTCCTATGGCTAGAATTCCCACCCCACTTCATCCCACTCCTCATGACTCCTCAAATCCTGTGCATCCTTTAGGTCTCTGTCAAATACCACCGCCTCCACAATGCTGTCATTTACTACAGCATCCACCATCGTCTTTTCCCCACCTGAGATGCAGTAGAGAATACAAAAGACCTCTGCTCTTGAAGCCAGAAAGACCTGGTTTGCTTCCTAGCCACACTGCTTACTAGCTGGGTGAACAATTTTGTCCTTGGTAAAATGGTAAGTGATTGTCATATTACTTACTCAGCAGGATACTTTTGGGAAGGCTGAATGAAATGTTGCACATGAAATTGCCTGGCACTTTACGTGCTCAATAAAAGTTAGATTCCTTCCTTCCATCCTTCTGGCACCTGCCTGAATTCCAACTTATCATGGTCTATAACTATCCCTGTGTGAAAACCTTGCTACTCCATCATGCCCCTTGAAATCACGTGATTCTCTCTGTGCCCCAGAGCACCTGCCACAGATGCTGAGCTCATCAAAGTTGTTATGCAATCAAATGATTTCAAGCTGAAGACTACAGAAAACAAGGTCCCTATATTTTGAAAGGTAGCAAGCTCACCTCTTTCCAAAACCAAATTCAGTTTATTTTGATAATTAACTCCCGAAATTGATAGAGAAGTGGTTGAACAGTAATTAGAAAAACAGTTACTAAAATAAGCCTGAAAAAAAAAATAGATGAAGGCGTCACATGAGTTCATGTTACCTTGCTGGGCCTGAGGGAGCCCCTCCAGTTGCCGTCTCCACCTGGAGCTGGCACAGATGTAGATGACCGTTCTTACGTACTCCAGCCCGCAGAGCTTCATGGACTCCTCGCTCCTCACTTCTGAGATGGCAAGTAGGACAGAGAGAAGAAATAAGGTGACAACGCAGCCCTTCATTTTGCGGAGGACTGAGTGAGAATCTGACACAGTGAATATTGCCAAATCAAGTTTTGGAGTTACCCTCACACTCTTGTCCAATTTATACTAACTTTCCAGACATTTTATTGGTCAGAACCTCATTTTAACAATATTTGCTAAGCACATAAGTTACACCATGAAGTTTTGCTAATGAGCTTTTATGATTATTGCTAGTTATTCAGTCACTTCTGAACACCATCACTTACCATTAGCTGCGTCCATGAGACAATAAACAGAACACTCTCTTGGGAGACATCAGGAAAACATGTAGACTTTGGAAGTAGCCAAGTATGAGTTTCAACGTCAGCCTTGCCACTTACCGAGAGACATAGGGCAAGTTTTAAACTCTTTCAACCTCAATAAGCACGTCTCTAGAATGGGAAAGCCTGTCTCATAAGGGTTTTGTGAGTATTGAAAGCACTAGCTATGTCAAAGCGGTGAGAAAGCACACTTAAGAATTCGGGTTTTCATGTTTTGGGTTTGAATCTTGGTTTCTCACTTACCAGATCTAGAGTTGTAATCAAGATATTAACCTCCCCAAGGTCTTTCTCTATAAAATTGTACTGATGATAGTAACTACGATATAGAGCTAATGAGATAATGTGTATCCTACTTGACAAAATAAAGTCAATAATTGTTGATTGCCTTCTTCCCTCACCATTGGGGTGGGCCAGAAAAGAGAACTTTCCTTTAGAATTCAAGAGAATTCCTCTAACTAGAATTTTCCTTGTTACCCTTCACTCCATGATGTAGGTATGTCTTTATCAACACACATTTTTCTGATAGAAAATTGAATCCATAACCCCAAGCAGGTAAATAATAAGATTTCTCTCTGGTAAAGCTTCTGAAAGCACTGGTTCTTGCATAGCTCTTCCCTAAACTGTGAATGCTGGAGTTTGGGAGCTTAAAGAATTGTTGACTCACTTTTTAGCAAATTGAACAAATAATTATTTAGTTGATTTTGTTGACTCCTTGTCTGTAATCTCTGGTTAAAAAATATTCACTTCGGCCTATAATCAAGATCATATCACCCATACTTCCTGTTACATCGATGTTCTTCTGTAGGGAAGCTGGAAAACAGAACAAGATAATCGATGCTTTAATTGAAAGCATTTCTGACTCTGAAAATAGACCTACTACTTCAAAGAATTGTTACTTTCTCCACCCCTCTGGCTGCAGTATGGAGGATGGATTAAGGGAGACAAGATTTGAGGCAGGAGAAACAGAGAAAGCTTTTGCAATAATTTAGATGAGACACGATGGTGGCCTAAACTAAGGTCAAGGCAGAGAGGACCGGGCAGATGAATATTCAAAAAATAGGAGGGCTTGGTACTGATTGGGTATCAGGCTTGGTGAAGGGGAGAGAGCAGTGAGAAATGGTACTTAGGTTTCGGGCTTCCTCAACTGGGACAAAGAGGGGTCATTTGCTAAGAAAGTGATCAAAGCAGCAGAAACGGTTTTGACATCAGATGGAGCGATCTCATCTTTTGATGGGTCAAAATTGCAGATGAATCTCTGTCATGTATCAACTCCAGACGGGCATCTGCACGAGCAAGTCTAGCACACTGGCAACATCACCAATTATTCGGCCATTTATTACCAGGTTCTTCCCTTCTTGGGAGACTTATATGGCTCATCTTGATAATGCTAGTTTTAACATAGCACCGCAGTGAGACTGTGATCAGTGACGATGGGCGGGGCTTCTGCACAACCCAAGAGAGGAGTATTCAGCCGAGTGACGATCCCTACTCTGGATGTCAGAGGCACTCTGGTACCTCTGAAACCTGCTATCACCCCACTTGATCCCCCTGGTCCCCTCTTCTGCCAGCTTTTAAGGCTTCATCAGGGCTCATGTTAATTTAGGATGCAGACGAGAGGCCAGTAGGACCTGAGCTCAGCCTATGATCAAATGGAGGCAAGCTAATCAGCCAGGTCAGCTACCCAGATGAAAAAGCTGGTGTCAATAATGAAAGCTCTAGCTGGGGAACCTCAAATTGAGGCGCTCTATTTGCCCTATTTTTGAATTGAGAGAGTTGGGCTGAATTACTTCCGGGCTCCTTTGATCTTAAAATTCTAAGTCTTGCTGTAATTGTCTGATTCTGTTACTCCCGCCTCCAAAACTTTCAGTGGCTTGGCCTTACCTGGAGAATAAAATCCAAACAGCCTGACGTGTAAGACTCTCCTTCCAGGCCCCCAAATATCACTCCTTCCATACACCCCAAGGTCCAGCCAGAGAGGATAGCCAAAATGAAAATTATCTTTCCGTCTTTTGACCAACAAGAGTTTGTTGCTTGTACCTCTAACTGGAGCACTTAATCCTTTATGTTTGGAGGTTGACATGACTTTTCCTCCTCATCTAGTCTGTAACTCAGTTTCCTATCTGTATGGCTTGGAACACATAATTGTCTTCTCTGAGTTTTAGTTTCCTCATCTATGAGGATATAATAGTGTGCATTTTATGTTTTTGTGAGGATGGAATGAGTTAACACAAGTAAAGCACCTAGCATAGTATATGATGCCTAATAAATACTCAATACATTAACAATGTCGTATGCAAGAGATTGGAAGATATAATTTTTGGTTGCCACTAGTTACTATGGATGGCTTTTATGTATAGCTCTCCATCTCTAAACTATCCATAAATTTGCACTGCTCTAGTCTTTTTCTTTCCCTCCTTCATTCTTTTCTTTCCTTCTCCTTTCCTTTCCTCTTTCCACAAATAAGCTCTAAAAAGGAAGAGCCTTAGAGTACAGTTTCTTGAAGTGCTTTCTTCAGGACGTGAGTCTTTGAAGATGGTCTTCGGAAAAAGAAGTATCCCATAGTAATAGTCCCTTTCTTGAAGATTAATAATGCATATTAATATAGTAAACGCTCAGAGAAGACTTATAGTCAGGAAACTTCTTTAACTTTGTTTCGTTCAGTGTTTCCCAAATTTTTTTACCCTAGAAACTCTTTCACATGAAATTGATTAATATCTGGGATGGTCAGGAATTTCTAGAGTGGACATGTTTCTAGCTCTCCTCCTTCCAGGCACATGGTAGGGCTGTATTTCTCAGCTTTTTAAAGTTGGACGTGGCCATGTTACATATTTTGGCAAATAAAATGTGAGTGGAAGTGACACGTGTCACTTCTACCTGGCATCTAAGGATATGTGCATGATCCCCCAGTTCTCCCTTTTCCCTGCCCTGGTCACCAACAACATTCCAGAGGCAGAAGCCTGATCTCTGAGTCAGAACAATATGGAGCAGTGCTACCTGCTGACCTGTAATGAACATATAATGTGAATGAGAAATAAATCCTTATCATTTAAAGCCACTGAGATTTGGTGATTATTGGCTATGACAACACAACCTGACTTATCCTGACTAGTATAATTATCTTAAAGTTATTTATGTCTTACAGATGTAGAGAATGTTTATATGACCCAAGTTTTTAGATCAAAGCAAAGTAAGATCAGTTATTTAGCCTTAATGATTGAAATTAATTACTACATGCTCAATATGATTGAATACATGAAAGTCTACAATTAACATGAACCAAAATTCCAAATTAACAATCAGACGATGGATTCAGTCAACATATCTTTCATCTATATACTGCTTATCAAGGAACTACGGCCACAAGAACACCTAATAGACGGTGTTTGGGCAGGTTGATATAAGAGTTGTAAGTACCTTCTCTGGCATCAGTTTTGGGAAATCAGATCTCAGCTCTGCCATTTAATATCTATGTGACTGGAGGAGTCAAGATGGCGGCGTAAGCAGATCGGAACTCACCTCCTCCC